CGTAATAATCACGAATCCTATATCACTCGTGGTGAAATTCCTGAAGAGACGAAACAGAATTACGAAAAAGCTGTGAAAGCTTTTGAAAAATTTTTGCAAAACGCTCAAATGTAAAATTATTTATTTTAATTAATCCATAGCGTAAAATATTTGCAATGTAATTCTATTTAGTGATTTCTCTTTATCTTTCTATTTAAAAATAGTTTGGCGGATTCTTTAGAGATCGAAATGCCTGACTTACCAGAGGATGAGGGAACAACAAAAATTGGGGGTACGATCATTCGTGATGGTACATTATTCAATGAAAAAGAGGTATAATTTTAAACCAGCTTAATATGACACTAAAAATTAAATTAATAATTATCATATGACTCGTGGCAACCTTTGGTTATGTTTATAGGAAAATCTAACAAATAGCATCTGGGAAGATGAAGATGCACGAAGTTTCTATGAATCTCTCATTGATCTGAAAACGCTTGTGCCTGGTGTACTTCTTGAAGCCAAAACTGGTAAAAAAGATGATGCCGATGTAGACAAGGATGATCATACTTCTATCGGACAAGATAAGGATGATAAGGATGATAAAGATGATAAAGAGGATGATGACAAATTAAGCGAGGGTAATCAATCTGATGACAACAAACATAAAGCTACCCAAGATACTATTGTCGAGACGACAGATAAGATTGTGCTTTGCAACGAAGACCAAGAAGATAAAGCAGAATTAGATGGGGAAAAAATAAATATTCAAGCTGACATTGACTCACCAACTATCAAAAAGGATAATGAGACAAGCAATAAAAGCGGTACTTCAGCTCAACTCGACTCACTTTTGTCTCGTCTCCCAAATATGGTTAATCGCGACCTCATTGATCGAGCTGCCGTGGACTTTTGCTATTTAAACTCCAAAGCATCTAGAAAAAAGTTAATAAAAGTAAGTGAATAATAATAATTTGAGAATTTTAAAAAGACTTCCCACAAAATTTATTGTTTTGGATTCATTAATAGACATTGGTGGGAGTCCCTCGCGCAAGGCTTGACCTTTTACCTTATTATTCTCGCTTGGTTGCCACACTAAATCCTCATTACCCAGATATTACCACGGCAGTTTTGCAAGCTGTAAGTTAGTTACTTATTATAATTTCTATTGAGTTTTTTTCTTTTTTTTTAACGTTTACTTTCTTATGGTTAGTTGGAAGATGAATTCAAATCTTTGCAGAAAAAGAAGACGCTGGACTTTTTAGAAACAAAAATCAAGGTAAGCTTATTGTTGTTGCTATGTAATGATATAGTTTATCATAAATTGTGACATTAAACTGCCGAGTTTGGTCAAAGGAAATTTAGCATCTTAATGTCTCACTATATACACTTTGCATAATTAAAATGGCTTGAAAATTTTATTAAGCTTTGACTTTGGTTTTAAAGGATTACATATATCTTATCACATACATTTTAATTGTGTCTTTTATGTAGAACATCAGATTCCTTTCCGAACTCACCAAATTTCGGATCACACCCCAACACGTAATCTTTCACTGTCTCAAAGTAGTTATCGATGATTTTTCGAATCAAAATATAGATATTGCATGTAATTTATTGGAAACTTGTGGGAGATTCTTATTCAAAAGTCCTGAAACAAATATTCGGATGGGAAATATGGTATTTATTTTATTAACTAAAATCAGTTATTTCTCTAAAATCAGTTATTTCATGATCTATGTAACTAATTCAAAATTACTGTAAAATAGTTGGATATAATGATGCGAAAGAAGAGTGTTCAGCATTTAGATAATCGTCAGCTTCTGATGATAGAAAATGCATACTATCAGGTAAGATGGTTCTACTAATAACTTTTAAAGTTCAACTCTATTTTATTTTGCATTTTAAAACCCTCATTA